AGGTGAAGATCCCGGATAAGTCTCAATCTCGAACTCTACCTCTCTATCAGGAGGTAACCCAAGCAACTCCTCAGGAAAAACATCAGGAAACTTGCTAACTGTACGAATCTCCTCGATTGTGGACAATGCACCTTTAGTGTTCAAAATACAGGCAATGAACGTCTCATATCCCTTTCGGATCATACGATCAATTTTCATCGCTGAAACTATATTGGAGAGATAGCCACGCCGTTCACCAATTAACACAACAGTCCGACCATCTGAAGTCTTTAGGGTAGCTCGCTTGTACTCGCAATCCAGATTTACCTTGTGTTTATTCAACCAATCCATCCCAAGAATTAGATCAAACTCCTCTAGAGGAAGCTCCATAAGATCAGCGAGAAAAATTTCTCCCTGCACCTCCAAAGGACAACGCCGAAATACCTTATTCACTAATACCGCTTGTCCTACTGGACTTGTAACTGTAACAGTATTTTCAGTGTTCTCTATCGGAATCTGAAGGTTTCGAGATACTGAGCTCGATACATAGGAGTGAGTGGAGCCATTGTCCAGTAATGCAAAGTATGGGATAGAATAAATAGTAAATGTACCTGCAATAACCTCAGGCTCATCTCTGTCATCCCGACGTCTAGTGGCATAAACCAAGGCTGGCTGTCTAGCCTCAGAAACTGTTGGCCCTCTATTTTGCTGAGGTCGAGCTCTACTGTCTGTCCTGGACACTGAACCACGAGCCTTTACTTGGCTACGATCTCTAATTGGAGTATGTACTGTAGTCTGAGAACGCACAGGAGTCTGGGTAGCGATCCGCTCAGACGAAGCTAGCTGAGGACAATCCCTCCGAAAATGTCCACTAGATCCACAATGAAAACATGCTCTGGTCTTCCTATAACACTCTTCCGTGTGCCGTTTCCCACAAAAGTCACACTGAGGCACTAGAACCGGAACCGAAGAACCACCTCTACTAACAGCTGAAGGTGATGATACAGTAGACCTGAAGCGTGTATTGCTCCTCTGAGGGGCTGAAGTACGAGTCCTCTTACCGGAATGTGCGGATGATTCAGTAGGGCCAAAAGATTTCCTAGATCGCTCCTGATCAACACGTTCTCTACCAGAAGCTAACGCCGCCATCTCCTCAGCATCCTTGGCTCTGCTTACCAGCACATCAAAAATCTCATCTTGAAGGGCTACCACCTGCCTACGTAGCTCGTATCTGAGTCCAAAGGCAAATTTACGACATCGATCTCTTTCGGTAGGCACCAGACTGATTCCATACTTTAACAATTTCAAGAACTCTATTTCATACTCTGAAACAGTCATGTCACCCTGAACCAAGTCCTGAAACTGCTGTCGTCTCTGGACTAAGTAGCGCTCACCCAAGAATCGGCTCCGAAAGCGCTCCTTGAAGAAATCCCATGTCAAACGATCAGTAGAAACACTACTGGTCACTGACTCCCACCATGTGTGGGCATTTCCATCTAACATCGCTACTGCCCCCAAATATCTCTTTGCTGAGTCCAAACCCAACTGATCCATGCGTCTTTCTGTATCCTGTAGCCAATCTTCTGCTTCAGTAGGAATTCATCCAAGCTGTCCTCCAAAAGCCTGACCCCATTAGCAATTAGAGTCTGCGAAATAGGAACCTCAGATACAACACCAGCAGCTCTGACTGCTCCCTGTATCAACTGCAGAAATTGTCTACCAAAAGTCTCATCCAAAGCAACTCCGGTAGATTCTGACTCAATATCTGTCGCTCCTATGATCGGTGTAGTCATGCCAATACCATCGGTAGGAGGCAGATTCGTTGGGGTCGTAGGAGCAGGATCACCTATCGGAGGTGGGGGATCTACTCGTATCTCATCGATCGGATCTGCAAATCTAGCCACTCGACCTCGTCCACGGCTAGTTCGACGACCACGTCTAGCACTCATTTTGATGGATCTCAAGTTTACTACAGAAGATAAAACTTAGGGTTAGATAAGCACTTGGAGTCTCGAACACAGTTAAAAATTTTAATAACTTTGTGATATGACCTTTGTTTCTTGTTTTGTAAAATATTTCAAAATCGTATCTTCCATGTGGACTCATACACAGTCCGAGGGTTAAAAACCAAAAGCTCTGATACCAATAAATGTAACCCCCTAGACCCAGCCTATGCGTTTCGACTAAGTCTAGTGGCTCACATTATGATTCTTTAAGACATTTTTCCGAAACCGTTATTCAATCAATGTAAAATCGCATTATAAATGACATGAAGTTATAATAAATCATACTATCAAAACCTAACTTGTAAATATAATACCAATAAGTAATAATTTAATTTAAAACATATCTTAAAAATCAAATCACGATAAACCGAATAGTAATAGCAAAAGTGTCATCATATTAAAATACCATACTTTAAAATAAGGTCCATGTTAACAAAATAAAGACAACTTGCAAGGTAAAAACATTACAATCAAATATACTTCAAGAGATATGTTGATCCTCCAAGTGCTCAATCCAGGGTAACTAACCAACAGTATCTGAAAGGGGGAAAACATTTTCGAAAAGTGAGCTAGGCTCAGTGTGTCCCAACATTACCATAAAATTTCAATAGGTACACTAAACAAATCATAGTCCATTAAGTCCCATAAAATTATACTGCAGTAAATCTCTTTAAAAAGCGTTACCCTAAGGGAACATCTTAGGGCCTGAGAGCCTACCCAAGATAGATTTCGGGGCCGTGGGGCCTACCTAAGAACACATCTTAGGGCCGCAGGGCCTACCCGAGAATGATCTCAGGGCCGCAGAGCCTACCTAAGAGTCACATTAGGTCCGTAAAATTTTCCAGCTTTATCAGAGCTGTACTTTATAAATTCGTATTCCAAAAATTTAATTGCACCGTGTTATAAATTCCATAAATCCATAAACATGGTAATCATATACCATTTCAAAACAAATATCAGATAACAGTCATAATCCATAAATCATCACATTAAATCGGTGCATCAACAATACGGAAACCAAAGAATTCAGTGTACCACATATTAAAACAAATAAAACAGTTCAGTAATAAATAGGGAACACACCTCGATAATATGTTCAAATCGTGGATCTACTGATTGCTGGTTTCACCACGCTCTGCTACAGTTTTCGAGCCTAATTTATAATATCACTATATTACTAATGGGTAACATAAATAAATCTCTAAAATCATAAAATTTACGATTCTTACGAGTGAATACTGGTATACGTGGTTTAACTGATCTAGAAGAGTTGGGTCGAGCTATCGAATGATCCGGAGAGTCTCTTGTACCTTCAAACAATAATAATTAATCAGCCCCAAATCTTACTTAATTGTTCAAAGCTAGAATTCTTAAGTATATAAGCATTTTTCGGGTTTGACTATCATTTTGGGGTATTTCGAGTCTGAATTTGGCCAAACGGATTGCGGAATCGGAATCAGGACGTCGAAAAACATAAAGTATGACTTTCCAAAAATTCAGATTCTTGGTCAAAGTCAAAGTCAACAACTTTGACCGTAGATTTGGAGACCTTCGGATTCGAATTTAACAAAACAGACCACGGAAACGGATTTGGCACGTCGAAAACTATCAGGATAGGTATACTCGGAAAAGATTAACGGTCGTTTAATGCTCGGTCAAAGCCATTTTAAGTTTTGGTCAAAGAAAGTCAACGGTCAACGGTCAACGGTCGGGTCGGGTCGGGTCAACGGTCGGGTCGGGTCGGGTCAACGGTCGGGTCGGGTCGGGTCGGACCGGTCAAACCGGCTCAGACCGGTCAAACCGATTCAGACCGGTCAAACTGGTTCGAACCGGTTGAAACCGGTCAAACCGGTCAGAACCGGTTGAAAACCGGTTAAACCGGTTTCCAGGAGCCACTCGCCCTGCGGCGGCGCGTGTGGCGCATTAGACGTCCTCCGGGGCCCTAAAAATCCCGGAAAAATTTCTAAAAAGTATTTTGAGCGATTTCAATATACTTACAACGATCGGTTCAAATTTTTGAACGGCGGAGAGCTCGATTTCAAATCGGCCGAATCTTTGACTGCACCACCTCCTCACGCGCCGCCGTCTACGGCGGACAAGGTTGACACCGGTGAACTCGGAACGGCACAAGGAACACGATGGTGCGGGAGGTGTCGTAAACAGAGCAACGATCAGCGGTGAATTTAAGATTTTCTCGGCGATAGAGCTAACAAAAACCGTCGCTACTTTGACTGGAAATTCCCGACGTTTGGCCGCGTTTCGCTTCAATTAATTTGAAGGTTTTGCTCCTCGCTCGATGATGAACACAACGGTGGTTTCAAAACAACGATCGGAATTCGGACGGCGTCGAAATCGAGTTTGGAAGTTGTGTGCGTGAGGAAGGATTTGTGAAATTGATTTCTGTTTTTCAAAACAGAAATCACGCATATATCAATTGTCTGCCGACACTCCATGGTTAAATTCAGGGCTTGGTCCCTGAATTTTCTTTAACTTTAAAACAAGCTCCACGTTTTAAAATCTTTCAATTCAGTCCCAAATTTTCACAATTAAACCCTCAAATTTTAATTAAATATTATTTTGAAAATCGGGTTGTTACAATTTGCTTTAGCGACAAGATGAAATCTGTTTGTTAACAAAATTTAACTGTTATAATCTCATCACATAAAATAAAAGTACTCCCTTCCAGAAGTTGGTGGAACTGGCTGATCAAGTTTTTGTCGACGTGATGACATTGTTACTTCAGTTGAACTATTAGTTTGCGAGTTAATGGCTTGCTTTTAGGCCTTGTTGTCTTAACATAATTTTTGTTAGCTTCTAATCTGTATATATGCGCGATTGGATCATTTCTTGTTCTGTATGTTAATGAACTTCTACATGTTTCGACATTTCTAAAACTCTGAATTCTCTGCATTCCATGAAAATCTAAAGTTGCTTAGTCTTTGAATAATTATAACTGTGAAGTGTGAACTCTCTTTTGATTGCAAAATCAATCATTTGCTAGCTTTCTTTCCGAAGATATTCTTATTCTGTTCCTTCAATTCTTAGTACCGTGTCATACTTGTTCGTCTATTGTTATCATATAGCTACTTCGCAAAAGAGAAAATTCCAGCTTTTATTTTGTTATTGTAGTTAATTTTGATGAGATTCAAGCTGGAAAGAGTGACAGAGATTTATAAAAAGCTTGAAGAGGATTATGGCGAGACGGTACTTTATGCCCCAAAGTTTGATCTGCAGACCGCAGCTTTGTGGCTATCACCGGTTAGTGTAAAATTTTAGGACTTCCAATGCTATTGTAATCTTTACCAGTATTTTTTATTTCACCTGAAACAGAAAGATTTTGTGGACAGCTTCTTGTTACAGGTGCTGCTGCAGGGGTTTGGGCTTACAAGAAACACAGACAAAAGACTAATGTGCACATCATGGCTTTAGACCTTGCTAGAGGTGTTCCATTGACCCCCAAAGAGAAGGAAACTATGCTAGACTTGCTCACACCCCCTCCTTGTTGGAAAAGTCAAGAAAATTGGGCTAGAAATGGGGTTGATTTTTTCAACAATTGAGAGCATATTTTTAGCAAAAGGGGGTACCGTTAGCACATACAATTGCGATATCATTTTTATCCGGTCTCTTCTGGAAGATGAGATTTTAAAACTTGAAAAGATTAGCGGAGCTCAAAATCCGGCAGACATGTTGACAAAGACGGTGACCATGGACAAACTGAAGCTGTGTTCAGCTTCAGTTGGCATGCTAGAATAACAAGACCAGAAATGATGTTGAATTGATCAAGGTGTGAAGACATATTAAAATCAATCTTCAAGTGGGAGATTGTTGGAAAAGTCAAGAAAATGGGGCTAGAAAGGGGGGTTGGTTTTTTCAACAATGGAGAGCACATTTTCAGCAAAGGGGACACCGAATTCGGTTCAAAATCATCCCAAAATCTTTCAGTTCTCTCTCAAATGTGTTTTGTAAATACCTGTAATTTTTTCTCTTTAAGAAAAGATCTGCAGCAGTCCGGAGACGTAAGCACAATTGGCTGAACTCCGTTATCAATTTTTCGGGTATTATTTTTTCGCTTTTATTTCGTATTCTCACTAATCTGGCTATAGGAAAATTACTTGTTACTCATTTATTTCCCAACAACTGGTAATCAGAGCTTTTGGTTGTAAATTTTGTCAATTTTTTGCGAGGGTACTACTCATTACTGTTCACGTGAATAGTAAATTTCGTGAATAGTAAAATTTTGTCGGCAATACGAATTTGTCGACGGAGGTGTTGTCAGAAACGATCCAAACGATTTCAGATTCGAGTGGGAGCGATGGCTGCAGACGAATGGAAGGTGAAAATTGAAAAGTTCGATGGTGTGGACTTTGGCTTTTGGAAGATGCAGATTGAAGATTTTTTGTACCAGAAAAATCTATATCAACCCCTCTCAGGAAAGCAACCAGAGGGCAATGAAGAATGAAGACTGGGCTCTTCTCGATAGACAAGCCCTCGGAGTTATCCGACTGACGTTATCCCGCAATGTTGCTTTCAACATAGCAAAGGAAAAGACCACGGCGGGTCTTATGGCGGCTCTCTCCAGTATGTATGAGAAGCCTTCAGCCTCAAACAAAGTTCATTTGATGAGGTGATTATTCAATTTGCGGATGACAGAAGGGGCATCAATGGCACAACACCTGAATGAACTCAATACAATCACAACCCAGTTGAGTTAAGTGGAAATTGAATTCGATGACGAAGTTCGAGCTTTAATTCTCTTATCATCTCTACCAGACAGTTGGAATGCTACTGTTACAGCAGTCAGCAGCTCGTCTGGAAATATCAAATTAAAATTTGACGATGTTCGGGATTTGGTATTGAGTGAAGAAATTCGACGAAGAGAATCGGGTGAAGCATCAACCTCCTCAGCCTTGCACACGGAGTCTAGAGGGAGAACTTCAAAAAGAAATTCAAATCGTGGAATATCAAAATCCAGAAGGGGAAATTCAATAACAGGAAAGAAAGATTTTACCTGTTATAACTGCGGCAAGAAGGGTCACTTTAAAAGAGATTGTTGAGCACTGAAGAAAGATACCGGCGCACAGGAATCTGTAAACATGACAGAGGAGACAGGTGATGCCATGATTCTAAGCGTCAACAGTCCGATTGAATCTTGGATCTTGGATTCAGGGGCATCTTTCCACTCCACCCTATGCCAAGAAATCATGGAGAATTATGTCAGTGGTGATTTTGGGAAGGTTCATCTAACTGATGATGAAACTTTGAAGATCGTCGGAAAAGGAGACATCCGACTAAAGTTGCCAAACCAGACCACCTGGAAGCTGACTGGAGTGAGACATATTCCTGGCCTCAAAAGAAATCTGATTTCTATAGGACAACTTGATGGAGAAGGTTATAATACAACATTTTCAGGCTGTTAATGGAAGATTACCAAAGGAGCACTCGTCATTGCTCGTGTTAAGAAGATTGGTACTCTCTATGTAACTTCAAATTTAGAGAATATCATTGCAGCCGCAGATGCTGATGGAAAATCAAACCTATGGCACCAAAGGCTTGGTCATATGAGCGAGAAAGGGATGAAGACACTTTTATCAAAAGGGAAGCTGCCGGATCTAAAGAATGTAGATATCGGACTATGCGAGGATTGCATCTTTGGAAAACAAAAGAAAGTCAGTTTTGCAAAGATTGGCAAGACACCCTAGGCAGAAAGGTTAGAGTTGATTCATACTGATGTATGGGGACCATCTCCAGTTCCATCTCTTGCAGGCTCACTATATTATGTCACCTTCATCGATGATTCTACAAGGAAGGTGTGGGTTTATTTTCTAAAGAAGAAATCAGAAGTCTTTGATACCTTCAGAAAATGGAAGGTTATGGTGGAAAATGAGACTGGTCTGAAAGTCAAGCGGTTGAGGTCTGGCAATGGAGGAGAGTACAGAAATAGGAGATTCAGAGATTTCTGCGCAAACAATGGGATCAAGATGGAAACAACAGTTCCCATGACACCGCAGCAGAATGGCGTAGCAGAGCGTATGAACACAACCCTGAATGAACATGCCAGAAGCATGAGGATACATGTCGGATTGCCCAAATTTCTATGGGCTGAAGCTATCAACACTGCAGCTTACCTGATCAACCGTGGGCCTTCAGTTCTTTTGGATGGCAAAATACCAGAGGAAGTTTGGAGCAAGAAAGAAATAAACCTTTCACACTTAAGAGTGTTTGGTTGTATTTCTTATGTACACAGAGATTCTGCTGAAAGAAGTAAACTTGATGCCTAGTCCAACAAATGTGTCTTTGTTGGTTATGGTGGTGATGAGTTCGGTTACCGATTTTGGGACTATGAAAATCGGAAGATCATCAGAAGCAGAGATGTAATTTTCAATCAGAATGTGATGTACAAAGACATATCAACCATGGAATCAAGTAGCTCCAACACCGAAGCTGAAACAAAGGAATTTGCTGAGTTCGAGGAGATTTCTAGAAATGATGTTCAGATTATTCCTGAAGCAGTTCAAGAAGAACCAGTCACACCAGAACTGAGACGCTCCTCCATAATTCCTAAACCAACCCAACGGTATTCTCCTTCTTTGCACTACTTGTTGTTGACTGACAATGGTGAACCAGAGTGCTATGATGAAGCAATGCAAGTGGAGGATTCAGTCAAGTGGGAGTCTTCCATGAAAGCTGAGATGGACTCGCTTATGTCAAATCAGACGTGAGAATCAGCTGAAGTACCACCAGGCAAGAAAGCGCTTCACAACAAGTGGATTTACAGGATCAAAGAAGAGCACGATGGAAGCAAACGTTACAAAGCGAGATTGGTTGTCAAAGGTTTTCAGCAAAAAGAAGGTATTGACTACAATGAAATTTTCTCTCCAGTCGTGAAACTATCTATTATCAGACTGGTATTGAAAATTGTAGCTGCAGAAAATGTACATCTTGAGCAGTTAGATGTAAAGACAGCTTTTCTTCATGGTGATTTGGAGGAAGAAATCTATATGAGGCAGCCAGAAGGCTTTATAGATGTAGGCAAGAAAAACCTGGTATGCAGGTTGAAGAAGAGCTTGTATGGTTTAAAACAAGCTCCTAGACAGTGGTACAAAAAGTTTGACAGCTTTATGAGTAGCAGTGGTTTTACCAGATGCCAAGCAGATCATTGTTGCTACATCAAGAGGTTCGACAATAGTTTCATTAATTTATTGTTGTATGTTGATGACATGCTCATTGCAGGCTCAGACATGCAAGATATTATAGACTTGAAGCAAGAATTGTCAAAGCAGTTTGCTATGAAAGATCTGGGCGCTGCAAAGCAGATTCTTGGGATGAGGATAAAGAGAGACACAAAGTTGGGGACTTTGATGTTATCACAGGCTGAGTACATCAACAAAGTATTCTCCAAATTCAACATGCAAGATGCTAAACCAGTAAGTACACCTTTAGGTGTTCATTTCAAACTCCAAAGAACAGTCACCAAAGATGGAGGAAGAACGTGCACACGTGGTAAAGGTGTCGTATGCCTCAGCAATTGGAAGTCTGATGTATGTCATGGTTTGTACTAGACTAGATATTGCTCATGCAGTGGGAGCTGTTACCAGGTACATGAATAATCCAGGCAAGGTACACTGGGAAGCTGTCAAATGGATCCTCAGATATCTGCAGGGTACTACAAACAAAGCACTTTGTTTCAAAGGTGGAGATACGATACTGACAGGCTATGTAGATGCTGACTTAGCCGAAAATGTTGACATCAGAAAGAGCACTACAGGGTATGTTTATACTCTAGGAGGTACTGCAGTGAGTTGGGTTTCTCAACTACAGAAGATAGTTGCTCTCTCCACAACTGAAGCAGAATATGTCGCTGTTACGGAAGCCAGCAAGGAGATGGTTTGGCTCCAAAGTTTCTTGGAAGAGTTAGGCAAGAAACAAGAGAACAATGTCTTGTACTGCGATAGTCAAAGTGCTATACATCTAGCAAAGAATCCGTCTTTTCATTCCAGGACGAAGCACATACAATTGCGATATCATTTTT